CCCAGCTGGGCCGGCTGCTGCCCGCCCCCAGTGGAAAACCAACCCAGGACACACCCCCAGATCCTGCAGAGCTGTCTTTGACCATATAATGAAACTAACCATCTGGGAAGCTTGTCTGGTAGTACTCAGCAGAGATAAGATCTTAACAAACACCAATAACGCAGATATGCCTAAAAAATTAGAACTCTCTCAGATCTGCTTCAAACTTGTATCAGTAGTCTTGTAAAGTGTGTAACACCCATAACAGAACAGAATTATAACATGGTCAATAGCAAGAGCACAAGTTTAAAAGCAAACAATTTTGTCTTCCCTGGAAAACAATCAGCAATAAGGAAAGGTACCTATGTTTTGCAGAATTTCTATGAGTTTATCCCTCTTGGAATACTCAGAAACCTGAAGAACATTTTGCTGCACATCACTGCAAGCTCCACCCATGTGTCCAACAACAAGAAATAAATAATCAGTTTTCAAAAATTCACCAGCCAACCTTGAAAACAAACAAAATTGAGCAACATGAAAGCTATTGCATAGCTTATTTTTGCTTTAAGATCAAGTAACTTCATTTATGTTTAAACCACCTCTACAACAAACACTTGTATCATTCCTTACAAAGCAGAGTGTATTCGTTATAGGTGCATTTTTTAAAAAGCAAAGAGTCTGGATTGTTTTATAGACAGATGTACAACAAAACTTGATAAGTAAGAATGTGCACAGACTAATTGTCTCTGTATAATACAGATACTGAATTTTCTAGCCATCTCAGAAAGAGTTCCACATACATGCTTTTAAGAAAACGTATCACTGACATACACGATCACAGAACCATTCCTGGGGCACTGTTTCATTACTAACCAGAGGGACAAGGAGAGAATTCTACACAAGCCAGAGTTCAAAACAGGCCTGCAAGAGACAACACGATCCTTTTTTACTGTTCAACAAAAACCTAAAAACAGTTTACTACATGGCAGTTATTTACAAGTTGCCATAGGCAGAAGTTGGGTTTTATTGAGACATCATTTCTCTTCAGTTATCCCAGAGGTCAAACTTGCCAGAATAGGTTATTTGAGTTTTACTAAACTGTATTAACTTACTGATACACAAGTGTGCTTCATGTCCAGCGTACACAAAGCAGCTTCCACTGCAGTAAAATTCAAATGGTAAACTAGCCAGCCTTGAACTGAAAACAGGCAATCTCAAGTTTTAGAACAGATTTCTAAAAAAGCCTTAAAACCACTAAAGACTGCTTTAAGGGCTTGAATCTCCCACCTGATTTATAGGTGTAATTGACACTGAAAATGTGCGTTTCACAGCAAACAAGTTACTAGAAATTTAAGTGTTTGGACTTAAGATCTGACTGGTTTCAGATCTCATAGAAAGACAGTTCTAAACAGAAACTACAGGGCAAGTTTAAACTCTCTGAAAAATGGAAGAGCAAATAAAAAACAGGAACGGAGAGAGGAAGAAAAAAGACCTTTTAGTAGGAGATACAAAAGTCCAAATGCTAAGCTGAAGTTCATTAGTCTTTATAGACTTTACTCACCTCTGAATTTCTTCAGGAAAAGTGGCACTGAACATTAGTGTTTGACGTTTGTCTTTTGGTGGCATGCTTGGGTGAGAAACCAGCTTCTTCATATCTAACCCAAAACCCATATCAAGCATACGGTCTGCTTCATCTAGCACCAAGTACTTCACATTATGCAAAGCAATCTGCAAGTATTTCAGTGAAAAAAAAAAGGCATTGGTTCACTGACAGTATGCACTGATACAATGTCCTAATTGCCAAAATCAACCTTCTACTTATGTTACTCTAGTAGAAATTAATTATCCAAAAATTAAAAGCTATATGCATTAATGCTTCATTTGCACTTCAACCTCTATTTTATAATCTGCATTGGCTCTAATATAGCACCAAAGCATTTCAGAATTTGGTTCAGCAATGTAAATCAAGAAACTCCCACATAAACTCAAAAAAACACATTTTCTGAAAGAACAAAAAGTGTCAGAAAGCATCAAGGACATGACAATTTCACTGTTGCTGACCAAGACTGACATTTTGTCTAGAAGCCCAACACCCACAGAAAGCCAGTCTCTAGTTTACTGCCAAGAACTCTTTTTCCAAACCACTTGTCCAGGGCAACACCACTGAGCCACTGTCACAACATGTAGCAATTGCAGTTTGAACTTTGAATGTCTGGAAAATATTTTTAATAAAATCAAAATTAAAACACTGCAAGAATTAATATCACCATAGTTCCAGATCGATAAAAGCTATTCTAGCAAAACAAAGGAACATCAAGTGAAAATCTGATATGGAATTTTCCACAGGAACTAAGAGAAGGTGTTCCGTCTATTTAAACTGTAAAACTTCATTGCCAAGAACGTGGTAGCCAGTTTGATTTAGACTGATATTTTCCAGTAGGCCCTGAAAGGGACTGAAGAGATCTGGATTCAGGCTACTTTTTGAAAAACCTCATTTATATGGTATTTAGATACTCCAAGAAAAGTTCACTTGTATTTCAAGAACGCGCTTGTACAAAGGCAGCATGTTGATTGATTTTCATTGCTCTATCTTTGCTTCTATCAAATTTCAAGAATGAAAACCAGTATGTAAAAAGCTAAGAATACTTAGGGAATTCAGATTAAATTTTAACATCTTACCTTCTCTCTTCCTATAATGTCTAGAAGCCTTCCTGGAGTGGCACATAGTATATTACAGCCTTGTACTATCTGACGAATTGAATGGCCTGTTTGTGTACCTCCATAGATCACAACAGGCCTTATACAAGTTCTATTATATAGAAAAATAAGTAAGTATGCAAATAGTATTGTTTCATGGAAGTATGTACAAAAAATCCATCATATCTACCATAAACCAGCTTAGAGTGGTTCAATTCCTTTGCCATACAGCACAGCTTATAACAAAAATCCGGACTCAAGACCAGAAAAATCACTTGATGTAAGCTCACAGTTCCTTTCATACTGCATAAAAGAGACTGCACAGGTGGCTTGCTTGGAAAGAACACTTTGTTTCATCTGCATTCTTCCCTCTCCTGTCAACTGGGAGTTACTGGCATGAAGTGCTAAAACCGTGTTAGACACTGTATGCTGTTTTTACTCAGCATACTTGGAAGACACAGAAGCACCCAATATATGCCCTTATAACTTCAGAAGTAATCTTTCCACACCTTCAAAGAATGGTGAAAAAAAAGATACACAGGTGGACCTTTGTAAAGCAACTAATCACACTGGCCATGCAGTGAGTCACTAAAGCATTAGATGGCAAACCCATCATGCTCTTCCTAATGAGGTTTTTGGTTAAATCTACCTGGTAAAGCTACATCATCTATTCTTCTCCTGTACAAAGCTGCCTATACAAGCAAGAACTACTTTATGCAGCTGAAAAGCAAGTTTACAAACTTATTGTTATAACCTGGTAAGGCTTTTACATGCATGCAATGTGTATTTTCATACTCAAATTCCAACTGTCTATTCTTGAAGATATTAATTTCAGCTGAAAAGAACTTACTCCAGCTGTGGAATTCCTATCCAAGACCAGAAATACTGGGAAATACAAAGTTGCTAAAAACCGTCACTGAAAGTTAACTAAAAATCTCTTGACACACCTCTACTTTTGTCAAGACAAAAATAAAAGCAAGTATAAGTTACATAAGGCAATCAACAAAGGTGATGTGACAAGCTCAGTACTTATCCCCTCTTCAAGCTGGAGCAAGCTTCTCCTCACTTCCCCCCACAATCCAATGTCATGAAGATTAAGAGTTTAAATGCCTAGCAAGCCAGCATTACCATCTAAATTCAAGTGTTTGTAGTCATTTGATTGGCACAAAAGTTTTTGAAGTATTAGGACAGCAGTGAAGCACTGCTCATTCAGACAAAGCAATAATCAACACCAGGCAATGGTGCAAAATCTTACCCATACACAAATTTCCTTGCTTCTAGGAAGATCTGATTTATCAGTTCTCTAGTTGGAGCGACAATAATACATTCTGGTTCTTGCTGCTCTTTAAAGGCACTGGCAGTTACACCATCTCTCATCATGAGGGCCACAACTGGTAGAAGAAAAGCTGCCTAAAAATAAAGCAGCAGTATTTATGCTGTTTGGTCTTAAAGCCTTCATTAGTTACACTACAAGCTGTGTATCAATCCTGAAGCTAGAATGATATAGCACATTATCAGCTCCAAGGAAACCAGACTGCAAAAGGATTGACCTGAATACACTACAGATCATTTAAGCTTTTTTCCTCCTTGTCCAAGTATGACAGTACCTCTCTGGACCTTAAGAGCCTAATAATGCAGAAATATAGTCATCCAGCAGCTAAATTATGGGTTCTTCCAGCAGTTCCACAATTCATGCTGACATACATTGACAATTATGTACTCCATGATCAATAACCCTCCCTAACATGTATGTACAGGTTTTATATTACCATCAGTAGATTTGCAAGGTAACCATTTATCACCATGCTCCAGACTACTACAACAGCAGATCAGTTTGCAACATGGCTGTACCAGCAGCCTTAGTTTCATGTAAGACTAGTTAACCCCAAGACATTACCTGTACAGCAGTTCCCAAAAGCATTCAGAATATTTATAGCTTACGTTTGGGACATTTTCCCCCTCTACACACAGAAGAGATTTTTCAAAACAAGTAACCAATAAGCTACACAATAGATGCAGAATTCCACACTATACCGAATGGCAAAAAAGCTACACTTAACGTAGAAATACTCTCACACAGAGCTGTCGGCGGCTAGATTTGGATACATTAGATAGTTTAACAAGTTGAGACAACTGTCAGCTTAGTATCAACTCTCAATACTGTTCCATAATTAACACTGAATTACCTAAAATTAAGTACAGTGCAGATAAGACATCAAACCAAGAATGCTAAATTAGCACACAATTACAGTCTGGCATACGTTTTAAAAAAAAGGACCAAAACCTAAACAAACATCCCACACCACCAAAAACCACGAAAACACATATACTAATGAAACCAACACAAAAAAAAACCAAAACAAATCAATAACTTCCAACTGCTGAGTTTTTCTTATCAGCAGTTTCTATGACTGCCTATACTTCTGAATATCTATCTGGAGCACTGAAGACTGGCCTGCTGTACCAAGACACTAAATCACTGAAATTAGAAAAGAAATTCAGCCCAAAAACGTGACAATCCATCCATCCATCACTCATATCTGTGCTTAATACTATTCCTGTCACTGCAGTGCAAGCCACATCATTAGGCAACAAGCTGTGAAGCACGTGGCCCGTGGAAGCCTGAGGCATTCCTATAAAAGGTCGTACACTTCCAGCAGCACACAAAATACTTGCCGTTTTCCCCGATCCTGTCTGGGCACATGCCATTAAGTCTCGTCCTTTTTTTTATGCCGTACTTCTGCACTGGAGTAAGTTTAGAGTATCCAGCTTTAGCAATGTTCACATTTAAAGTCTGACACAAATTGGCATCCTCAAAAGTCTGTAAGATGAAAGATTTTTAATGGTATGCAAACAAGGAAGTTAAGTTTAAAACCTGAGATTCATACTGTAGGATACAGACATATAAACACTGTATTAAGTTTTGAGAGGGTCTCCCCAGTCATCTAGATTGCCAAAGTTCCTACAGGTAAAGCCTCAAAGGCTTCTTCAACCTGGTCATGCCATTTAAGTAAAGCTGTTTGTAGGACAGTGAGGGCCTTCAGCTGGTCTTCTTACGTTTGAAAGAAAACAGCTCAGAAGCCATACATTTGTATTCAAGCAGGTAAATTCACACCAGGACATTCTATGAAATCTAAAACTCTTCAGTTTCATTTCACATAGTAGATACACACTTAGTGTTTGTGCTAGAATTAGTAAGAGGAGCTAAAGAAACATCCATATCCAGGACCAGAAAGCAGCATACACAACAAAATCAGTTCAACTTCAGTAGGAGAACCTTTCAGAAGATAAAAGAGTTCACTAACCAGTAATGGTGCTGGAGGGCTAATTCCTGACACTTCAACAACATTTTCATCGTACTTGTCAAAATTAATCCCTGTCTTGTAATGTGCAAAGATGGCTTGTTCATCATCAGGCGGAGGAGGGGGCACATAAGTCACCTTTGGACCTTAAGGACACAATCATTCAAATTTATAAACAAAATAAAGAAAGGTTAAACTATTTTAAATATGGAGCAATTGAAGTTAAGTTCAGTGGTGTGTTATTTAGACTTCTCTCCAATTCCCAGGAAGGCAAGACATTTCATAAATTAATTAAATTAGAACTTAGTTTATTCTACTAGAATTAAACTCAGAAATAGAGTCAGACTTTTGTAAAGCACTCCTGTTTCACATCTGCACAAGGACTGTACTTTGAAGAGCTACTCACAAAAATTAATTAGGCTCTACTTTATCACCACACAAAAAAACAATTCTACCACAAAAACACATTACATTATAAATTATCCTATCTGATAACAATATATTTATGAATACACAAGGATAAAATTAATTTGTTCATTGCAGTACATGTATAGTTCTGTATTCCTCAAGGTGTTCTTCAAGCTATTAAACTCAGAGGTATAAAATTATTATTTCCTGCACATTACAAGGTTAGCAGTAAAAAACATTTCACAAGGCTCTCAAATAAGGCTAGATCAGGAATCAAAATTATTCATCCAAGTCAGCAGTTCACTATTTGTCTTTTTGCGTTTCAAGAGTAAGACAAAGGCAAAATAAGGCTAAAGTCATTTGCAGAAAATGCTGTAGGCAAGTAAACATTCTAACAGATTGTCCCAACTAACACTTTCAATACATGTCAGAAAGTCATTATTCATTACACTTTTCAACTTGATGTGCACACAGAAATTATGAAATTCTATTTAATAACTTGCACTCAGTAAAACACATCCAGCCCTTTTTCCAGAAATGGCATCCCAGATGCTACAGCATTTGAAACTGAGAATCTGCTGCTTCTTTGTGGTTTGCTTCAATGACCGTCATCAGATGCTGTTTTGCCAGTGACTAGGCCTAACAGGAATGACACGGCCAGCAGAAAGACAAACCAGGAAGTGGACTGTATTGAGGATAGAAAGGACATTCCATGGACAATTGCTGGGGGTACAAACAAGTCAATTAGTTCACAAGCAATTGACGCTACCCCCAGTGGTCCCAACAAAGACATCACCCGACTGACAATGGGTGGAATAAACATAGAACAAAGGCTGCCAATAGATGGAATGGGAAATGGCCAGACCAAGAGGTTAAACATAGACGATAAAGGTGGACCCATGGCCAGCTCTCACCCTCCTAGCCTGCATTACAAAGGTCCAAGCTGACCAGTGCCCAGTTACAGGAGAGCCAGGAGGTCCTTCCTCAACCAGGAAGCTCTGGGAAGTGCGTCCACATCACAGATAGACACTTCTCCCTTCCCGCAAGTGGTCCCAGCTTTTATCCCTAAGCAGAACACCTGACCTTTGGTTACTTCATGCGGGACCCCTGGGGCTCATTTCCCTTATGGCTCTCCCTGCAGGGCCAGCCACACCCTGGAGGGAAGCTGAAAGGCAAACTCACCACCTCTTTATGAAGGGCTGTGGGAATCACCCATATGTCAACCTTAACTCGGGGCTTGGGGTATAAACCCCAGCATTTCAGATGCCTACACTACTGCCAATTAAATTCTCTGACACTTGTGTCTGAAGTAAATAAGCTTTACCATTGTGAAGAAGAAACAGCCAACAACAGAGGAATTCAACAAAACTATTTCAAAAAGTTAATCAATTTACATGAGAACAACCTCTGTGTTGCCCAGTAATATACAGATGCGCACTTTAAAAATACTGAGTTAAACCTTATTTGCTCACCAACTCAAGTTACACGAACAGTTTTAAGATGATTATGCATTTACCTTTACCACTACCTTCTCCACCCAATTACTTCCAACAACGTTAAGAGAATATTCCTTGAGTTAAAAGCAAGAAAAAACTGGTGTGTTACTTGCAGAGAAGCTACTTACCTCTTTCAGAACCCATTTCTTCACTGGTTTCTTTGTAAGGTGCTGTTAAAGAAAGCATTTCAAAGTTACTTGCTTTTAGGGAAAAAAAAGATCATTTGAGAGAAAATCTAAACAAGAACCTTAATGAAAAATTCCCAGAAACCCCAACAGTAGGCCCTGATACAGTTGGTAGAATGAGTGGAAATATTCAGGGAAGTAATAACAGCTCAGTTACAAAAACCCAGAAGACAAAGTCCCAATGTTTGAGTTTTAAAGGGCAGAAAAAGAGGATGTCAAAACACCAAGCTTGGAAGGACTTCACTGTAACAACACGAAGGAACTAAACCCTGCATCTTGCTGAAGGACTTCACTAACCAGATCTGGTCCTTGACTCATATCAAGCCCCTTATCATCAAATCAAATGCAATCATCTCAGCTTATGAGATAACCATCACAAGATGTCTAGATAAACCAAGCTGTATTTAAAGACAACCACTAGGAATGATCTCTCCTAAAGCCAGCATAGGCTCTGTAAAGGCAGATATAGTTGTCTATATTCACTTGAGATGAATCATGAGAAAATAAAAAGCAGCTATAACAAGAAATTGAAAAGCCACAGGAATGTCAGATGCATAACCTTGTTTTGTCACCTCTTAAGTGAGGTTGTTCCCCTAAAATGGATAAAATATTTTGAGTAACAAGAGATACCTACATGATTATGGTTACAACATCTCAGTTTTAAGAACCATTCAGCTTTTCCAGAAAATCAGGAGATGCTTGGTTTATGCCACACAATCAACTTTTAAACAACTAAAAAGCTATAGCCATAAAGGTCAGTGTCATCACAGTAATTTTTCAAGAGTTAGGAGAGAATTTAAATCAGAAGAGAAAACCATCCGGTTATTTCAACAAACACATTTATAACATCCTCTCCATGAAAGTTCTGACCTTGACATCCATTTATTGTGCATGTTCCTTTCAGTATCACTTGAAAAACAAGGATGTTTGGTCTTAAGAGTGAGGAAGCACATTTTACATATGTAAAAACTGTATTAAGACTGAGTTATTAATAGCAGCATTTCTGGAACATGTTTTAAGTCCTTACTCTCACTACACACAAATACAAAAAGCCTTAAAACATAACTGGCAGTCTCTAGCTACTCTGTGCAGGACATTGCCTTGCTGATTTCAGGGAAGTGTAAAAAACCCCTTTAATAAAAGGTCTCTCTGGAAAAGAAAGGGGGTTAGAAAAAGATAAGGGAAACAAGACTGAATAAAGAGGAAAGACACCAAAATCTGTTAATAGCTTCTCCATTCAAACATGTCGCTCAAGACATTCATAAAAACCATGTCATGAGACTAATTTTAGGACCAGTACACAGGACGGTGACCCTGCCATGTGTCCTTCACCCTCTCTTGTCCGCACTCCTCACTGCAGCAGCACACGCACAAAAGAACAGCATCATGGCAGCACATTAACCTCATTGCTCGTTCTCAACAAGACTGAATTATTAACTCTGAACACAAATACCAGTTCTGAAGAGGCAGACAGTACTGTGACTTGGATCAGGAATGCTCTGTTCAGCAGCAATGCTCTTAAGCAGCTCTGTAAAACCACAGCTCCACTGAGATGAGAGAAGCCAACCAAAGATGCAACTTACAGTGTGTGTAATCACTTTAACACTTTTTTTCCATCAGAAGTACTATGTAATAGTATTTCTAATTGCAAAAAGCATAACTGTTTTAAGAAAAGCCGGCACAGCCCTACACTTGTTACCTCTGCAAGCACTAATAGAGTGGTGAGGCCACTATTCAGAGATGGAGGCACCAAAACAGCCTAGCAGTGCTTGCACTGCTCCTTCACTAGACCCGTATGCTCTTGACTGTAAAAGGATACACCTCCCATTCAACAAACCACTTTATGAAGGAGTATCTTCCCACACCTCTATACAGACTACTGCAACTGCTGCCGACTGATATCCACAAACGTCTTCAGGTACTAATACTTTATACAATGGTCATGAAAAAAGTAAGGAATGACTACCCTGTGTTAAGGATGCAGTTTTCTCCATTGTGAGTATTAGCATGTTGTCCCTATAAACACTTAAGTTTCTAAGAACCATTATTTGAACTAAAAACCTGAAAAATGTAGGTCAAATTAAGTCAAACAGAGGCAAAGCAATTTTCTTTGGATATTAAGGAGAATGAAGGAATAATCCTTTGCAGACAGCAACAAAACCCAACGTTACAATGAAGTCAGTAGGAAGAACTAGTATCTGAGCTACAAACCTTACCTGTGAGCGTAGACAAACGTAAAACAGTACTTCCCTTTATATGGGGGGTGGAAAAAGTCTAGAGTGACTATTTCAAGGCAACCAGTTCTTAAAGGCTTTTGGGGTTTATACCGCTGCTTCACCATGTGTTAACCAACCCAGTAACAGTAAGATCAAGCAAAAAAATTACAAAAGAGAACAGCTTCTTTTACCTTTGAAAATCCAATTACTGAACTTTATCCAAATTACAAACATGACTTGTGTGAGCATGCAAACAAACTACCTAACATTTGCAGTAGGTTCTTAATTCAGGCAGGGAGAACAATCACAGTGATAGCATTTAGCAAAGCTAACAAGATATTGCATTGCAATAAATCAGCAATGAGGAGATGTGAAAGGTTCGCCACCATACTAAAAATCTCACCTGCATGACCTTCAAATGCTCCTCTTCCTCTAGAGCCAGGAAAAATGCCAGGCTGAGGTCTGTTTCTTTTCTCATCTTCAGTACCTGTAAGTAATAAACAATATAGTGGATAAAGTGTCTAAAATTAGCATAACGAAATCACATGTTTAAAGCTAATACTATTTACTCCAAAAACTCTGCAGTGCAACAGCCCCAAAAGATGTCTTTGTAACTCCAGCCTATGCTGTATTATTCCCAGCAATACTATTTTTCAAAGATGTCATGAATGTTCTACGTGGCTGAAGAACAGAAGCTACTTCACAGCTTTCCTTTTTATACTTGTAGTTCTCAGGAAGCAAGCAAACCAAGAAAGAATGACCCAATGCATGTTGTTCCCACACAAACCAGTCAATATAAAATAAAATAAGTTAAAGGAAAAACAAAACACACAAACAACAACAAACTTACTCTCGCCCCGTCCAAAGCCACAAAGAAGTCCTCTTAAACCTCTGTTTTGTGTACTAGAATCTCCTGCAACGTTATTTTCTTGAAAATCTGCAGTAGAGCATAGCATACAAAAACTTAGTTTGCAGGTGCAGATCAAATGTCTTTTATTTGGCAATTATTCTTCACACTACTTATTTTATACATTCACATACTAGGTACCATAAAAGTGATTTGCCTCAACATATGAAAAGAAGGAGAAAAGAAACGTTTTTTGCCAAAAAGTGTAAGCAGAGCCTACTGCTCTTCAGTAGTATTGCTTCCTGCAATAAATCAAGCATTGTCTTCAAATACTTGACTTCACATGCATATATGCTATGTCAGCTACTAACTTTCAGCTCTTTAGTCATGATGCAGACCAGTTCAGTCCTCTAGTTCAGTCACAGGACAATTGACAGCATTCTCATTACCAGTACTGTAGAATGAGGTAAAATATTGCAATTACTGCTTCCTACAGAGTGAGGATTTGAAAACCTGCCTTTCAGATCTAACAATTTCCATTTTTTTTTTTTTTTTTTTTGGTTCCTCAGAACTGCCTATTCAGTCTCTTGGGACAGGCAGTGCCAAGTGCTTAGTGTATTTTTATTTCTAACCCCTTTCCCTAGTCACCCTCCTGACTGGCATGAAGTTAAACAGCCATATGCATTAACAAGGCATTTCTCATTTTATATATGGGACAGATTCAGGTGTTGTGATCCAAGCAGTCAGCTTACATTGTCACTTACTCCTTAGTCTTTATGCTCCAACTGAACACCTGTTCTATCCCCTTCTAACGACAAAGCGCATCTTCTCTTAAAAGTGACCTAGGAGTTCTCCTACAACAGCATCTGTAGCTCCTTCTCCACTAAAGCCTGGTGCATAGCAAGCTATGTCATTTAAGCTTTACCGAATTAAAAAATAAAAATTAATCGCATCTTAAAAGCTCACATGCAAATAGTCTAGATACAAACATCCATAAATACTACAGGCCTTAAATACAGCTTGAGTCACTTTACAAATGCTGTAAAGTCTACAGCAGAACTGCTGGTCACCATTCCACAGAAGCACCGAAGTGTTGCTGCCTGCTTAGCCAAACAAGTCCACCATTCCCCTAGCATGATGGGCTTATGGCAGATATGGGAAGATTGCGCAGAATTTTTTTAAAGAATAAACATAACTACTTCAAGTGGCTCCATGGCTGTTCTGCAGGTCAGAGCTATTCCTAAACATGCCCAAACACACACTGAGGCTTCCATCTTGTTTCATAAGAAGTCCTACTTCCAACCATAGAACTCTCCAGACGCTACATGACAGTAGGCTTCCACTGCCCTACATGCTTCTGACAGCATCTTGTGGAAGTATATGTGGCAGTACTGCCAAACTGCCAAGTACTAACCTCCTCAATGTGCACTGCATACAAGAGTGCTACTTCCTACTTGCTACTCTAAGTAGGAAGAGGACAGGGATTAAATACTCCTTTATGGGTACTAAACAAAGAAGGCTTTCAGGTCTTTCACAGAAGAGCACTGGCATACTTTCTCACATGGCATATATGCAAATACTAATATTCAGCTGTCTTTTATACTACATTATGACTTGAACAAAATTACCAGAAAAATACCCCTCTCCAGAGAGGATGGAATCAAAGCAAGATGTAAACAAAACACTGATTTCAAATGTAGAGTCCTGTCTTATGGCAAATACAGTGCGGTATTTTATGTTGTGCTGTCAAAGTAAGAGGCGATACTGGCCGTCCACATGATACAGAAATAAGGCTGGTATTACCCTCCACGTTAAAAATACTCCTTTGGCTCTGGTACAACAAAACTGAGTACCTGCATAGGGAAATTTAGTGTATCAAATACAAACTAGCCACTAGAATTACAGACACACCAGAAAGTTACCTCTGTTTCCAAAATTCCATCTGCTACCAAATCCACCCCTTGACCAGTGCTGTGCCTTTGGTTGTTCATCAGTATCTACAATTAGAAAAAGGAAATGGCATTAAATCTATCCCTGACTTCACAGCAGGCCTTTGGGTTTTTTGGGTTTGGGTTTTTCTGTTGTTTCAGTTTGGTTTATTTTTAAACTCAACAGTGAAATTACAGAAACATTCAGGTTGAGAGACCTCATGTCTGTATCGTACCTCCCACTCACCAAATACAACCTGATGAAGGTGTCCTTTCATAAGAAAATGAATTAAAATTACAAAGTTTAGAACAGGTGTAACTGCTGTTTTTCATATGGAACAGCACCACTCAGCAACAGTACCTCCTACCAACACAGTAGTACTTGAATTTCCAGAATCTACTGAGACACCAGTTGCAAGGTCCTCCGCTCTAAATGTTTTGTCCAAAAGGAAGGCTTAATCACCCCAAAACTATAAACTTTAACCATGTACTCCTACCTCTACTCCTAGAATACCCTTCAAAATGATCCTGCCTATGCTGACTTCTTTTAGGCCTTTCACCAGCACCTGGAAATTGAAAACAAAAGGCAAGTAAGGCTTTCGACACTCTGCTGTAACATACTCATATGCAAACAAATTAAGTGCAGCCTAAACGTCTGGGTGGGGAGGAGGACTGAAACTGGACTGAACCACCGGGGTCCAAGGGATGTCACCAGCAGCACAACCTCCAGCTGGAGGCCAATCACTAGCAAAAGTACCCACTGACTGATACCAGGCCCAGCGCAGTTTAGCTACTTTGCCCATGACCCGGACGACGGGACAGAGGGCACCCTCAGCAATCCCACAGACACGTAACACTGGCATATAACGCAGGGCTGCCTTTCACACAGAGGAAGTGCAGAACATGATAGAGACATGGGCAGGAAAGAACTTCAAAGTTCCACAAAGAGAAATGTAAAATTCTGCCCCTGAGGAGGCATAACTCCAGGCACCACTACACTGGGGACAACCAGCTAGAAAGCATCTTTGTAAACAGAAACCTGAGGGCTGTGGTGGATAACAAACTGAACAAAACCCAGCACTTGCCCCTGCAGTAAAGGCCAACGGTGGTCTGGGCTACACTAGGAACAATGCTGGCACTAGGTGGGGGCAGGTGGTCCTTCCTCACTGATGAAGCAGTTATCAAGAGCACTGTGCCCAGTTCTAGACTGTCCAGTACAAAACAGACACTGATGTACTGGAGTGAATTCAGCAAAAGATCAGAAGATAAAGACGGATGCATCTGTCATACAGAAAGGGAGCTGGAACTGCTGTGCCTCAAGACAGCTGAAAATATCTTCCACCTTAACCAAACTGAGCACAGATAACAGAGTCAGATTCTTTTCACTAACAATCAATCAACCAGGACAAGACACAATGCACACAAATTGAAACACAAGGAAGTACTCTTAGGTTATCCTCATTATAATGATTTATACGAACACAACTACTACCATTTTTTTCAAGGGAAAAAAAAAAAGCTTAACCTGCATACATTAACTACTTGTGATATTTGCTGTCAAACAAGTAAGCTCTATCACTAAATATAAAACTACATAGAGCCCAGAAGCACACTGCATACAAGACTGCATCTTAATTTAAGGGTGAAGCACAATCTGTTCATAAATTATAAGTTTTACAGGGGAAAAAAGAAATAAGGCTCATGCACCCTTTTATAGGACAAAATAAAAAAAATGAGACTATTTTCTCCGTTATGTTGTAGGTAGAGTCCCTAACACTGGTGCATCCTTTAAAACAAGGTCAAGACAAGATGCATAATTTTATCAACAGAGAGCCTTCCACCTCTGGGCTTCAGAGACAGCTTTAGTTCTTTAAGTTGTTATTTAAATAGCAAGTAAGGTTTGCTCTTATCGAGCTTAAGTAAGCAATGTCTATATTATTACCTATGCTTGAAAACATTGCTAGAGTTCCCTGTCCAACTAGGAAGCAGCAGAAAGATTTTGTTAAATCAAAGCAGACACTTTGAAACTGCTCGCACTGATCTTGAAGTGGCACAATATAGCTAGCTCAGGAAAGGAATAAACGGTTAACGATGACAAGGAAAGTAAGACTTTCAGCTTTGCCCCCCTGCCCTGAGTTCAGTACAAGAGGCACAGGTCATGGAATACCTGGTTATTTTTTCAGTACATAATAGAAAGGTTAGCAGGCAGAGATGACGGCTAGTCAGAAAGAAAGAAATAGAACAAACAAAATGTGAAGCTCCAAGACTCACTTCTACTTAACTTGCAATTCAAGGTCTTTCAAAAAGCACTGCCTTTCCTATTTGTTTTGTTGTCAAACTATTACTGAAGTTAGCAACCTGAAGACCTCATAAAACACTTCTGTGCTAGGATGAATGCAAAACCTGTCCTCTGAATTTTCTAATTCCTGTAACTGTCTAGACTCAGAGGAATTTAAGAAGCAGAAGTGGTATCCTGTTCCTGCCCTTCCTCATTTCCCAGCGTCTTTGGGGCAAGGAACTGGAGAGAGCCTACCCTTCAGCTACACACTAAAAGGCAGGGGCCTGTACGCACACAAGCAACAGACATACTGCTGTGTTTAACTGCTGACAAACACATGAGCAATTGCAAACTCATGGAGAACCTGCCCTACAAGTAAAGGCTGAGAGGCTTAGTTGTTTTCTCCTTGCAGAAAGATGGCTCAGGGAGGAACTCATCACAGTATTTCAGAACTTGAAGGGCAGCTACAAAGAGGACACGGACTTTCTCTTCACAAAGAGCCACATCAAGAAGACAAACGGCAACAGGTAAAGCCTGCACTGGAAGAGGTTTCATCTTGATAAAATAGAGAAATTCTTTACAGTGGAAACAATCATTCATTGGAACAACCTCTCTAGAGACTTGAAGTCCCCACCACTGGAGATTTTCAAAATAGGATTGGACCAGGTGCTAGATAATATCATCTAGTCTTCCTTTACCACAAAAAAGTTGAATGAGATGATCTTTCAGAGCACCTTCCAACCTAAGCTGTTCTATGATTCTATGGTATCAACACCACAATATGGTATCAACACAGTTTGTACTAACCACAATTTGTTAACATGACATTCAAGTTGTTCTTCCACAGTTTAATGAGCTAAATAATATACGATCGAGATTTTTACCCCAGACTTAAATTTCACTGAAGTCAAATTATCATCAAACAGTCTTAGCAACCATTCCTAAATTCACAGACTACAGCAAGAATACCCTTGATTAGCACAATCCCACAGACTGTCAGTTCACTAAGGAAAATCTGTTTCCTTGATCTAACTACTGTAGAGTCACACTAGGTCAAGCCTGGAGCAAATTATCTTCAGCAGCAACCCTGGCTTGGCGTATTTAAAACTCCTGTCTTCCGTATCTAAACTTCCTCTAGCTTCTGTATCCAAATCTCAGTGTTGTGTCTTGGGGCTTTTGTTACTGATTAAGTTGTCTGTGGTTTCTTTTTTTTGTATTGTTTTGTTTTTTTGTTTGGGGGTGGTGCTTTTGGGTTTTTTTTAAATGGATCCAAGTTTCTGCTGAACAACTTCATCTGAATTTTTCTAATTTCCACACCCCTGTTAGACAGGACCTCCCTAAAGCTGCTCAGCATTGCATTCAACACATTATTTTCAATAGTGTTCACATTTAGCATAGTCCATTTTAGAAATTCTTGTGAGGTAACCTGTTGATTCGTTAGAAGTTATCTGCTGTATTTAACACAACTGCAATAAAGAAAGAAGGGCTGAGGGTCAAAAGGCAAGTTCACTCATTACGTCACCTGTATAATTTGATATTGCTTACTCCACGGGGGACACATGAAAATATCACAATGATAATACTGTTGGTTTCCTTAATCTCTGAAACTGTTCAAGGAATCAACTCCCTCAAATGTCAGTAAAATCAAAAGCACCTTTCACATACCGAATAAGCCTGCGGCTGTACCAAAGTCAGACGAGGGGCCATTTGGTCTTTCAAAGAAACTAGTCTACAAAAAGAGAGAGACACAACATCATCTTAAATCTAATCCCAGTAAAGTACATAAATACAAATGCAGTTGATATGCCTTGCATTTGAAAGCTGCCTTCTGCACCTCCTGAAATACAGCCTCCTGGACACTTCTGTTCACTTCAGTTGACTACACTTCAGTATACTAAAGGCATACTGTTTGCATCAGTGTCCCCAAACCCACATAACAGAGCTGATGTGGAGTTACCCAAGTGTACCTTGCCTTCTATCACTGATTTACAGAGGAATTAGCTTTGTCACCTTGCCAACAAGTGCTATAAGCCTTGAACATAAGTAACACTGCCCAGAACAATGGTATACTCTTTTCAATTATTTTTGTCTCCCAATCTTTCACACTGTTTGTATGGTGAATAAAAACCTGTCTTCACCAGTTTCATAACTGCATTTCTAGGGTTCTAGCATCTAGAGGATGCTTACAGATGATCTTGAAAGGAAATACCCGAGATTATTTCAGCCCCCATTCATTTATTCAGAGATTTAGATACTCCATGTGAAACAATTCAGAACAGCACCAAATTTTTCATATTTGACTCATACAGTCAGTTTTATTTCCAGCAAAGGCCATGTTTAACTTTCACCTGTTTAATGCAAAACAGGTATGCACTAGTAAGTCAAAACACCAGCTGACTAAGGAACATCACATAACTACCAAATCTTTTACTCAAAGACTGTGCTTTCTAGGTACTTCTACAGCTTTTACTTACCAATGTGATTGGCAATTACTACAGGAAATTAAACCCAAATTACTATTCTGGAAATATATGCTGTAACTTCCTCTGGTAACCTCACTTTCAGCTTTTTATATGTATCTGGATAAACCATTTGCCTCTCCTCTTCCTCTCTGTTCCTCAAGGTTGAATTTAAATACCCATTAAGACCAACGGCAGCAATCAAAGATACATTACAGATTCTCCTCACATTTACTGGTTTCTTTTGATACCAATATTCACTCAACAATATCAGAAGAAGCAAAATATTATTCTTTAGCTGTTTCTTCTTACACTCCTCTATCTTAGCCTTCATTTCACACCAAAGCATTTTGCTGCTCTGTAAAAAAAACCAGTAAAATTGAATAGGAACAATTTCTACAAAAGATTGAGCTCAGAACTAGACCTGACATCATCCTAGCTCTGCTACAAACTCCAGAACTGTATTTTAAGCATTCTTCTCACCAGTTGCCAAACTCTGGAGACCATTAAGCTAGAGAGCTTAACCACTTGAATGTACTACCTCCTGGCCTAACTGTAGTTTTTCTCCTGCAATTAATTTAATTCAAGAGTAACTTTTACGAGCACCGTTTTCCAGTTCCAGTCTAAGTGAGCTGGGTTTCCATATAGGTCGTAGCATAGCTCACTTAGAGAGGGGGAAAAAATTCTGCCAGAGTAGAGGTAACTTAGAGAAGCAACTTAGAACATCTGAGAGGAAGCATCATCTCCACCTATTTCTGGATGCAATGAAATCAACTTGGTTTCTGTACGTATTGGTTTCTATAAATTTAAGTCTGCTTGCAAAGTCTGATTCCCACTTTCTAAGACTGCAGTTTTCCATGCACACCAGTCTACCTAACAACTCACAGATATCAAAAAAAGATGAGGCTCCACTTATTTTTCCTTTACCAGCTTTGGTACTGAAGGCCATCTAAGCCATTTCTCTATTACTGAAGAACAGTTTTATGTTTAAGAAATTAAAAGAGCTCACAGAAGTGCACAACGAACAGTGGTACCTGAACAGCAACAAGCAAACCCACTGGTAGAGAGGAAAACTCCTCTCTTTAGTTACAGTGGAAGTGAACGCTAACAGCAGCCTACCATACTTCCAAAAACATACTCTAAGTTATATCCAAAGTCCTATCTACAGTCCTCAAAAAGAGGCACTCCTCACCACTCCTATGGCAGCTATGCATTTAAGACCATAAAGTTTGAAAACAACATGAAGTGTAATAAAAGAATGGAGACCAGCTGAGGGAGTCACCTACATTCTATTTGTTGCTGTGGTAAAAAGAAATAGCAATCCAGCAACTGTCAGAGGAAGGAATAGCAACAGAATATTTAGTAAATAGAACAGCCAAAGGACACATCAACAGCACAGAGGCAGAGGCTACAGTTCACAACTAAGCCACAGCCAAGAACTACACCCAGAAGACATAGTTCTGCTAGTCCCTAGTAATGCAGTTCCATCACCACCCTTTCACTGCTCAGTACAATAGCAATAAGAACTATCAAACTAGTCCTACTTCTGCAAAAAAATAGCAGCCTGCTAATACCCAAAAAACAGCAATCTGTTTATCTTACAACTTCAGAAACACCAGATCTGACATCCATAAGGGAACAGGAATGCATTAGAAAGGAAAATGGCAAGCAACTGAAACCAGCCCTTTCAATAGTTACAAAACGGTACTTGAATACCCCTTACCACAACTGACCTGCAATTTTAAGTTTCTGCCCTTTGTAAGTTTTTGCTACTTCTCTTTCAGCCTGTGCTAGCCCAGTAGCCTATCCATACAGGTACTCAACTCCTAGCCCACATATGATAATAGGTGAGTCACTAGTTTGCGTCTCTTTTATGGCACATACTCTTCCAAAAAGTACACACCCTCACACAACGCAATGTAACAGGGCAGCATTAAAGCAGCTGCACACTGACTGCGCGCTAGGATCCTCCGGGGAGGCAAGGCACCTCAAGGTTTTGAGAGACTAAAATTGCTAGTGTTTGTTAAGAAAGCTCTGTCTTTTCAACACGCAAGATAAGGGCAAGTTCCTCCAGGTCCTTCAAGAAATCACAGGAACAGGGGACCACTGCCTGCCAGCCACCTTAGGCCGCAGGGTCAGGCGTGGAAGGGAAGGGAAGAGAAACACGCC